TTGATGGAAAATTATACAGATGTAAAAAAACCATGTTTTACAGCATGTTTCCAAGGGTTGTGGTTGGCTGCAGCCATGGGATCTCCAATTGCATGCGAGAGCAATGTGGAGAGACTCTGACAGCTCAGGTCAGTATAGTATCTACGCTGTCACTCACCTTTCCTATAATAGAAAAACAACAACAAAAACCCATGCTTAAAATAAAAACATTTCAAAATGCTAGAAAATACTCATATATTAGTGAAATTATGCATATAATCTGATCATTACTTTTAAAATAAAATACTAAAATACACATGCTTTAAAAAAGATCCGAAGAAAATATTTAAAAACATAAGTAGCAGTTATCTCTGATAGGGTCAAAGGTGATTTGTTTTTATACTTTTCATATTTATATATGGTGCTACAATAAATAGATATTACTTTCATTTTTATGAGAATTAAGTCATTATCTAAACAACACATATGCACAAAAAAACATGTTTCTTATTTCCATATCCAAATTCAAAACCAAATTACAATGACTGGGAAATTCTTCGGTACTCCTGAATATAACACATCTTTACAACAATTTCTTTACCAGCCTTAACCAGTGTTTTTCAAATCTGAAGGTAAAAACTTCAACAGAAAACCTGATGCTGTGATTGAGAATATAAATCAGAATGTTGTTTGGAAGGTAACTTGGTAATAATGCAGATTTCTGAAGATATTGGTAAGTAATCTTTTGATCAAGTTATTCCACTTCTTGGACCAAATAATCATGATATATGCAAATATATTACCACATAAATTAATGGTGGTTGTATTTATAACGAAAAAAGACTGGAAGCAATGTAAATATTTAATAATAAGGGACTGACTGAATAAATTATATGTCCATATAATGGAATACTACCTAATTAAAAATGAAAATGGTCCTGGCCAGTGTGGCTCAGCTGGCTGGTCTGTGCACCAAAGAGTTCAATTCTTGGTTGGGACACATGCCCTGATTGTGAGTTTGATCCTGAGTTGGGATGTGTGCAGGAGGCAACCAAGCTATGTTTTCATTTTCATATCAATGTTTCTCTCTCTCCCTCTCCCTTTCTGTCTCTCTAAAATCAATAATAAATAAAAAGCATGTCCTTGGGTGAACATTAAGAAAACAAGAAAAAGGCAAATGTTTATTAAATAAATGGTGATCTCATATAAAGAACTCTTAGATACCTAGAGAATCAATTTTAAAACTTAATTCTTAGAGGAACCTTACTGCTAATAATTTGACAATCATTTGCTTTGACTTACAGAGCTGAAGATAAGCTTCAATTATACATCTAATGAGTTATAATTTTATAATAACTACTATACCTTACATTCACTTGCATATTTAATCCTCACGTCATCCTTATGAGGAAAGTTCTATTATTACCATTTATATTGTACAGATGAAGAAACCAGGGCTGGAAAGATCTTACTGAAGATCATGAAGAAAATAAGTTGTGGAGATAAAATCTGAACACCTCGGTATGTCATATCTGTACGCCGAGGCTAGTAACCATGACTCTGTACTGCAGTTTTCCTTCTATTTCTGTTTTAAAGAATAATCTTAGGTAGATGAGGACTACTACTTGTTAAGAATATCTATATATCTATATATCTATATATCTATATATCTATATATCTATATCTATATCATCTATATCTATATCTATCTACACTAATAAAAGAGAAACATGGTAATTAGCGTACGACCGCTACCCTTCCCATTGGCTAATCAGCATATCCTTATGCAAATTAACTGTCAGCCAAGATGGCGGCCGGCAGCCATGCACTGAAGCGAACAGGGAGGCTTGCTTGCTCCAGTGATGGCAGACTCCAACGTTCCCCGCCTGACTTGCCGGCCTCTCAGCTGCAACTCTAAGCAACTATGTACTATGTTGCAAATAAGAAGCTAAACAAAACCCCAGAAACCGGCCCGGGCTTCAGCCAGCCGGACGGCAACATTGTATCAAATACAGAAGGTAAAGGCCAGAGCCGAAACCTCAGAGCTAAAGCTGGCCCAGAATAGAAAAAAAAAAAGAAAAAAAGGAGCGGTTGGGAGCTTCTGTCACCCGCCAGCCGGAAAACGGCCCTCAGCCCCTCAGCCAGACTGGCCAGGCACCCCAGTGGGGACCCCCACCCTGATCCAGGACACCCTTCAGGGCAAACCAGCCAGCCCCCACCCATGCACCAGGCCTCTATTCTATATAGTAAAAGGGTAATATGCCTCCCAACACCGGGATCAGCGGAGCCGCGAGGCCTCCCGGCACTGGGATCAGCATGACAGGGGGCAGCGACCAAACCCCCTGATCGCCCTGCGGCTCTGTGAGTGACAGGGGGCGGGGCCACAACCTCCCTATCCACCCTGCTCTGTTCGTGACAGGGGAAGGCGCCCCAACCCCCTGATCAGCCCTGCTCTGTGCCTGATAGGGGGGAGCTCCCCAACCCCCTGCGGCTCTGTGTTTGACAGGGTGCGGCGCCCCAACGCCCTGATCCGCCCTGCTCTGTTCGTGACAGGGGAAGGCGCCCCAACCCCCTGATCAGCCCTGCTCTGTGCCTGATAGGGGGGAGCTCCCCAATCCCCTGATTGCCCTGCGGCTCTGTGTGTGACAGGGGGGAGCTCCCCAACCCCATGATCGCCCTGCAGCTCTGTGTTTGACAGGGTGCAGCGCCCAACCCCCTGATCGGCCCTGCTCTGTGTGTGACAGGGTGCAGCGCCCCAACCCCCCCACACACCCCACGGGCCCTGCTCTGTGTGTGACAGGGTAGAGCCATAACCTCTCCATCGGCCCTGCCCTGAGTGTGACAGCGGCGGCGCCCCAACCCCCTGATCAGCCCTGCTCTGTGGGTGATAGAGGGTGGCGCCTCAACCCCCCTCCACAGGCCTTGCTCTGTGTGTGACAGGGTAGAGCCATAACCTCCCCATTGGCCCTGCCCTGAGTGTGACAGGGTGCAGCCCCCAACCCCCGATCCGCCCTGCTCTGTGTGTGACAGGGGGGCGGTGCCCCAACTCCCCTATCGCCCTACTCTGTGAGTGACAGGGGGAGCTCTTCAACCCCCTGATCGCCCTGCTCTGTGATGAACAGGGGGGAGCTCCTCCAGCCCCCTGATGGGCCTGGGCTGTGCATGACAGGGGGAGCTCCCCAACCCCTGATTGAACTTGATCTGAGTTTGAAAGAGTACTGAGTCCCAACTCTCGTGATGGGCCTCGCTCTGTGATTGACAAGGGTTGCACCCCTACACTCAGAATATCCCTGCTCTGAGTGTGAGAGGGGCAGCACTCCAATCCCCTGATCGAGCCTGCTCTATGTGTGAAAGGGCGTAGCGCACCATGTCTCCATATAGGTTCTGCTCTGTACGTTCAAAGAGGTGGTAGCTACAAACATCCACCACTCCCATGCCTTGAGAGCTGACACGGAAATGGGGCCCCAAACACATAATTAGTCCTAACCCTGAACCTGATATA